TTCCCCCCTTTTCCCCTTAGATGGAAACAGATAAACAGGAGAAGAAAGAAGGTAAGAGAGGAAGAGGTGGCTAGGGAAAGGGAAATGGCACATTGACTGTTGGATGAGAAAGGGTCTAAATCCCCTCTTTCTCACAGTCCCTAAGTGCGGCTTTCTCCCTGGGAATGAGAAGATTCTGGCCTTGCTTGCCCTGGTTAAGCCAGAAGTCTGGACTCTCAAAGAAAAATGCATTCTGGTAAGCCTGGGAACTGGGGGACATAGAAAAGACAAGCAAGGCCAGGCCCTGGAGATTCAAGTCCTTCATTCAGGAACCTGTTCCCCAAATAGGAAGCTTCCTTCTGTGTTTGTGTTTAGATACCTTTTGTTTATCACAATGGTGATCACATCCCCAAATCAGATGGTGCTGTATCCACCTCCATAACCTCTGAACCTACTGCTATACCAGGTATACAGCACAGGTGCTCTGATATAGTGAGCCGGTTTAAGAACGTAGGCCCTAGAGGGAGACTGCCTTGGTTCAAATCCTGACTCTATCACTTACCTAACTGGTTACTTTAAGTAAGTCACTTAGACATCCTGTGACTCAGTTTTTTCATCTGTTGAGTGGGTACAATAAGAATATTTACCTTGAAGGCTTGTTGTGAAGATTAAATGAACAGTGCCTGGCATATAATATGTACTCAGTTAAATGTAGGTTTATTAGGAAGTAGCAGTAACAAGAACAGAGTTTGTTGAATGATTCCTACATGATATCTTTTAATGTAGGTGATCACATGGATCCAGCACCTGATCCCCAAAATTGAGGATGGAAATGACTTTGGGGTGGCAATCCAGGTAAGAAAGGGTATGTCAGGATGCTGAGAGCAGGGAGAGACTTGGAGAGTAAGGGACGGGAGCTGGACATGACCTGGAAGAAGGTGGGAGATAGTGAGCGAAGGAGGGAGGAGATAAAGTGTTTTCTTTGCCTCCCATTTCTTTTATTACCACAGGAAAAGGTGTTGGAGAGGGTAAATGCAGTCAAGACCAAAGTGGAAGCCTTCCAGACAACTATTTCCAAGTGAGAACAGTTGGAGGGCTAGTATGGGAGTCTGCAGGGGCATTTATTTGGGACTCCCAAAGCTGAGCATGCCCATTCGGATGAAGTGGGGCTTTGGGAAGGGTCTGAGGGAGTAGCTCTCTCTCTCTGAATAGTCATTCCTGTGGTTATTCCTCTTGCTTCTGGCAGGTACTTCTCAGAACGTGGGGATGCTGTGGCCAAGGCCTCTAAGGAGACCCATGTAGTAAGTACATAGTCTACCAGCCTTTTAGCTGAGGCTGGCTGGGGTGGGGGCGGGTGAGGAAGTGGGGATAGAGGTCCTCTTTGTCTTGTTTATGACCTTTCCAATGTGGAGGATATTAAGCCCAGGAAAACTGATTTGGGCTTCACAAACTTTGATCCCTTTCTCTGATCCTGTGGGAATCCCATTTCTTGGCTGAGAAGGGGCTCATTCCTCAAGTTACCTATTCCCTATATGAGGAAACCAGACTTGTGTCCCACCTTCCTATGGGGCTTACTCAGCTTTGCTTCCCACATCCCAGATGGATTACCGGGCCCTGGTGCACGAACGAGACGAGGCAGTCTATGGGGAGCTCAGGGCCATGGTGCTGGACCTGAGGGCCTTCTATGTGAGTCTGGAGTAAGCCCTTAAGGGAGGTGGATGAGGGAGGCAGGGGAAAGGCCAAGAAACTGACTGTTACCTTCTGGCCTTCTTCCAGGCTGAGCTTTACCATATTATCAGCAGCAACCTGGAGAAAATTGTCAACCCAAAGGGTGAAGAGAAGCCATCTATGTACTGAGCCCAGGGTTAGAAGGGAAATAAATGACCTATACTTTGTGTAGATAACCTCTGGTGTGTGTCATTCATTAAAAAAACATGTACTGTCACCTAGGCTTCTCTTGTTGCTCAGATGGTAAAGAATCTGCCTGCATTGTGGGAGACCCAGGTTTGATCCCTGGGTCAGGAAGATCCCCTGGAGAAGGAAATGGCAATCCACTCCAATATTATTACAGTAGCCTCAAGACTTCTCCATCCGTACATCACCGATGATAAAATATCTAGGTTAATGGTGAAAAGATTCTCCACAGTGAGAGACACACAGAGAGGTTCACAGAGTTACATGGAGAAGAGAAGAGGGAGGAAGGAGATAGAGGTGACCAGGAGAAGAGGGGGAATCAAAAGGGGAGAGAGCAGTCTAGCCAGTAATCAATTCCCTATTTGCTCTCCACAGTGTGGAACACTCAGAGAGGTTTACGGAGTTACATGGAGAAGAGAAGAGGAAGGAAGGAGATAGAGGTGACCAGGAGAGGAGGGAGAGTCAAAAGGAGAGAGACCAATCTAGCCAGTAATCAGTTCCCTAAGTGTTCTCCACAGCCTGGAACACCCAAAGAGATTCACAGAGTTAAGTAGAGAAGGGGGAAGGAGGAGATAGAGGTGACCAGGGGGATAAAAAGGAGAGTCAAAAGGGGAAAGAGCAATCAAGCCAGTAATCACACTCCTAGGTAAAAATGGGTACTGAAGATTGGATTCTTAAAGGTACAAAATTGATAACAAATACCATAAAGCAAAGATTAAAAATCTAGAGTAGAAGTTAGACTCTCAGAAATACAATATTAAAAAAAAAATCACAACAATTATAAAAAATATATATGAAATTTGCTTTAAAAATATGGTCTTTTTTTTTTGCAAGGTAATAGTAGTTTTTAAAAATGAAAATTAAAGGAGTAATAACTTTAGTGACCCCATGGACTGCAGCCTACCAGGCTCCTCTGTCCATGGGATTTTCCAGGCAAGAGTACTGGAGTGGGGTGCCATTGCCTTCTCCGATGCAAGGGGGTGAAGGTGGTCATTTATTTAGGTTCACTTGTTCAATTGTGCTGCTGGGAGAGACGAACACTGCAAATAAATATCACTGGCGTGTGTGGGGAGTGCTCGCAGTGTCTGGGCCACACTGGGTTTGCCCCCTCTCACAGCGTGTGTGCTTTCCCTGTCTACACTGCTCAGGCTCCAGGTTGCCCTGCAGGGGAACTGTCTAAAGTGGGCCCTGGTTTGCATGCACTTCCCTGGTCTAGGCGGCTCAGGTTCAGTTTCTCGGGTACTCCACAAAGGCACAGACTCGGTTGGGCCTGCATTTTGGGCCCTTCCCAGGTCCGAGCAGCTCGGGCGACCAGGTGCTTGAGGAGCGCAACACTCCAGTATTCTTGCCTAGAGAGTTCCATGGACAGAGGAGTCTGGTGGGCTACAGTCCATGGGGTCACAGAGAGTCAGACACGACTGAGAATTAACACTTTTACTTTCAAGTGTCACCTGTGTCCAGACACTAAATGTGAATGTGGTGATAGGAAAGGGAGGGGTGCCAGGAAGGCAAAGATGAATTAGAGATCCATCCTATTCTTAGGAAGTCATCCTAAAGAACAGGGTGGGGGCTGTTACATGCCATGACAGCCATGAAAATAATCTGTATTTGGGACTTTCATAAGATCATTTCCATCTGGAGGTCTCTTGAGTGCTTCCTGGGAGAGATGGCATTTGGGCAGAACTCTTATAGGAATAATCAGGCTTTGGAAGGCTCTGCGGCTGAGGTCAGGGAATGAACAACCCACGTCATCAGCTCAGGGCAAGCCCGGAGGGAGAATGAGGTTTTACTGGAAAAATTATGGGTAGATGGTTGGGCTTCTTCTCAAGGGTTGAGAGGGTAAAAAACACTCCCAAGGCATTAAGGCGAAGGAAATTATACCACAAGACATTATGGGAATGATAGGTCAATAAAATTCTTTTTGACCTTTACCCTCCTCCATTCTGCAATTACTTCCCTGAGGAAACCAAAGGCCAGATAACTTGAAGTGCGAAAGTAACACGGCTTAGTAACTGGCAGAACCACTCTAGAACACAGACCCACTAATTTCATGGTAGGAACCACGCTGTCCGCTCTGTACCCACGTTCGAGAGTCCACGGCTCCGGCAGACTCTCGACTTGGGCGCGGGCTCCACCCAGAGGGCTCAACGGGGCCTGTGCGGACGGGAAGCAGAGGTAACAGACGCAGCCATCTTGCAATCAAGAACCGAAGTGGGATAGCCTAGCCAATCAGCCCGCGGGCAACTCTCTTCGGTTTTTCAGTCAAAGGCGGGGCAGGGTTGGATACTGCAGGTGACTGGGCCAAACGAGACCCTCTAAGCCTATCAAAGAGTACCATGTGGGCGTGACTCCAGAGGCGGCTCGGACTCGGAGCCCGGCTTCAGCTTGTGGGAGGCTGCGCCGCTTGGGGGCGGGAGAGGCGGAGCTCGGTGCTGCAACATGCCGTTTCGGCCGCCTTCATTCCGGGCCAGGTGGGGGCCGGGCTCCGGGCCGAGGTCGGCCTGAGCTGACTGGCTGCCTTCGAGTCGAGTCAGCGTCACCGTCGAACCTAAGTGAGGGGGCACGGGGAAGGGCCCAGGAGGGCTCTGGGGCTCTGGAGGGGGCTTCGCGAACGCGAGCTGGGGCTCCGCTCGCTCGCCATGGGGGAGGTGGAGATCTCGGCCCGGGCCTACGTGAAGATGAGCCTGCACGCCGCCCGGTATCCGCACGCCGCTGTCAACGGGCTGTTGCTGGCGCCGGCGCCGCGATCGGGAGAATGCCTGTGCCTCACCGACTGTGTGCCCCTGTTCCACAGCCACCTGGCCCTGTCTGTCATGCTGGAGGTCGCACTCAACCAGGTGCCGCTGCCGGACGCCCACCGACCACCGCGAAATCCCCTAACACCCCTAGTCCAAGCCCATCCCTGGTCTCTTGGCAGTAATGCGCACCCACAGGGCGGGCGGCACGATTTAGTTACTGATGGCCCCTTTCCCATGGCAGGTGGATGTGTGGGGCGCGCAGGCCGGGCTGGTAGTGGCAGGGTACTACCATGCCAATGCAGCTTTGGACGACCAGAGGTGAGTGGGGTAGCCAGAGGCAGAAGGCTAAGGGTTATGGGGTGGGGGGTGTCAAGAGAACCTCTCTTGGTCATTCCTTCCATCTTCCCTTCATCCAAGGCTTAGGCACTGTAAAGCAGGCACTAGGCTGCTTACGCAGTGAGGAAATATAAAGAAACGTATTTTTCTGGAGGAGCTAGGTGGGGGCGGGTAGAACAATGTCAGGCTGACACCTGCTGTAACTGAGATGCCCCCCCACCCCCGCCCCAACAAGTGCTGAAAACACAAAGAAAGCTCAACTGGAAACTTTCTTTAAAGGAAGTTTCTTTTTTATGTATACACTTCACCATTTAAGGACACAGGCTTGAACTACCTGGGGCCACAAACAGGCAAAAATTTTTCACTGAATAAGTACTGCAGTACTACAGGACAACAAGGTTGGTTGAATTCCAGTGTGGAATCCAGAATAGGGAAGGCCCACTGTAAAGTTATCTGCAGATTTTCAGCTGCTGGAGGCTCTGTGCCCCTAACCCCATCATTGTTCAAGGGTCAACTATATACAGAAAAAGCTATCTAGTTATAATCAAGTATTCGGATCACACTCTACTGTTTTGTAATTTGATTTTCCCTCCTTAATAAATATCTGACATCTTTCCATCTCTACACTAATAGCTACCTTACCCTAACAGCTATATAGTACAAATATGGGTGTACCATAATTTATTTAATGCTTTACATTAAACATTGAGGTTGTTTCTATTTTTTTTTTTTTGTTATTACAGACACTGTCCTATTAATACAGTAAATAATTTATAAGTAGAATTTCTGGGTCAGCGTATGTATAGTATACAAGTTTGGAACGTTATGCCACATTACTCTCCAGAAAGACCATCTTAGATTTCCACTCTCACCAGCAGTGTCTAAGCATGTGTTTCCCACAGCACTCAAGCATCAGGCAGTTATGCATGAAGCATCAAGTAGGCCTGGCCCCCCCCCAGGCCAGATACAGGGAAAGGTCATCACTGCATCCACATCTTTGAGGCCTAGGAGGCCCAGCTCAGATGGATGCAGTCTGCCCACAGTATGCTCCTCACTCCTCTGATCTTCCTTCTACACAGCCCTGGGCCCCTGGCCTTGAAAATCGCTGGGCGGATTGCTGAGTTCTTCCCTGATGCAGTACTTATTATGGTGAGGCTTGGGTTTCGGAGTGGGGAGTTGGAAAGAAAGTAGGAAGGGGGAACCCTTGAAACCCTCACCAGCCCTTCCTTGTCCACACAGTTGGATAATCAGAAACTGGTACCCCAGCCTCACGTGCCCCCAGTTATCGTCCTGGAGAACCATGGTCTCCGCTGGGTCCCCAAGGACAAGAACTTGTGAGTGCCCCACTTCTTCCACCTCTTCTTGGAAGCCCACAGCTCCTGAGCCTCCTGTTGTTGGTTCTGTCCCAAGGGTCCTTCTCTAGACCCTAACCTGGCCCCACTCCCGCTGAGTTTGACTGCCATGGGGGTTATTATTTCAGAGTGATGTGGAGGGACTGGGAAGAGTCACGACAGATGGTGGGAGCATTACTAGAGGGCCGGGCCCACCAGCACCTTGTGGACTTTGACTGCCACCTTGACGACATCCGAGAGGATTGGACCAACCAGCAGCTCAACGCCCAAATCACCCAGTGGGTTGGTCCCACAAATGGAAATACCTGAGCCAGGGCCAGAGGGGAGGCTCAGGATCCAATAAAGAGACTTGGGCTGTTGGGCAATGGTATGACTATATTTATTGTGCCTGGGAGGCAAGGTGAGGGAGAAACCAACAGGCAGAAGGTGGGGAAAGTCTGGAGTCTCCTGTAAAAGTCAGAAGGTCTCTGCTGGAGCCATCACAGAATGAGAGGAGAGTCTTAATAGATCATTCCCTTTGTTTCTCCCCTGGGCTTCTTGAGCTTCTCGAAGTTCTTCAGGATGATGTCATATAACACAGCCTATGGGGCCAGGGTGGAGTGGGAGTCAGCCACCAGCTCCCAGTGGTTCTGTACCCCATTTCTAGCCTTGTGGAGAGGTCAAACTTTGTAACCCTTCACCCCCCAGCCCGCAGGGTCAGGGAGTGGGTGGCTTGGGAAAGCTGCCTCAGCCCATCCCCGCCCTCGCCTCCTCACGTAAGCATTGCGGATCTCCATGACCATCAGCCGGATATCCCGGTACTCTGCCTCATCCAGCTCGTGCACCAGTTGCCGATAATCACCCTACGGGAGACTCAGATCAGGCGTGACTTCAAGGGTGTCCCTCCTCTCTCACACCCAGACTGAGGCCTCACCTACCACGTGGGGCTGCTTGGCTGCTTTGGTTACAGCATCACCGCGCTCAGAGAAATACCTGTGGGAAGTAGAAGGGTATGGAGCAGGAGGAGGAGGGAGCAGAGGGCTCAGTCTCTGCCAGAGGCAGAGCAGTGGGCAATGACTCACTTGGAAATTTGAGTGTGGAAGCCTTCCAGCTTGGTGTGAAGGGCAGTCATCAGCTCAAACACCTTCTCCTGGGGAAAGAAAGGAGGGGAAGTAGAAAGCAGCAAGGACTGGAGAGAGAAGGCTGGCAGAGGAGTGGGACAGTGCTCTCACCTGGACAGCCACTCCAAAATTATTCCCATCCTCAATCCGAGGTATTTGCAGCTGCAACCAGGTGGTGACCTGGGAGGAGGGAATGACAATGAAGCCCCATCAGTCCCAAACCCAATTCCCAGTTTCCTGTCCTTTGTTTCCTTGCCCACAGTGAATGGGAGTGTGTCAGGTCTGTCCTGAATGCCATGGCCTGGAATTCTGGCTTTACTTGCTGTGCCTTCTCCTGCTAAGACCTGGCAGGTGTCATGCCCAACTGGTAGGGACAAAGGAGGACAAAGGGTTTGACCTGAAGTGTGTGGATGGAAGTGGGAGGGCTCACCAGGTTGAGCTTCTCAATGACATCCTTGATCTCAGGCTTTACGCGCTGCAGGAGGACCACAATCTTCTCATTGCAGCTCACTGGGCCACATGGAGGACCTAGGAGGTGGGTACTGGGTTAATCACATGACTGGGACTGTGCCAGGCAAGGAAAAGGCATTCTTAGGGAGGAGCTCCTTGGAAGTGAGACACAAGTCCCTTCCACCATAGCGATACCTTTGTCTTCATCTTCCCCTTTCTTCTTTTCATCCTTGTCTTCCTTCTGCGGGGAAAGGGAGGCTCTTGGAAGTCAGGCCTGAGGCTGATTTCTCCCCAGGTTGGGTCCCTCCTCCCAGGTCTTCCCAGCTTGCCTCCTGCTGTTTTCTCCGCTCCTCCTTCTCTTTCTCCTTGACTGGATCAGGCACTGGGATGTCCAACGGGGCCTTCAGATTGCTCAGGTTGGCTTCATTGAGAGCTGGCTCCTGGTGCAGGGTGGGAGAAGGGCTGGAGGCAGGGGCGAGCTCTCACCTCCTCACTCTCACAGCCCCCAAAGCTCTCCCTTTGGCCTCTACTCCCTGCCCAGCCCCAGTACCTTTAAAAATGCATCCAACTCAGAAATCTTCTTGGGAAAATAGCTCCCGAGCAGGTTCTCTGTCTGTGTGCAGAGTAATGGTAAGGGAGGATGGGGTTCAGAATCAAATTCCCTTCCTAGGCAGTGAAGGAAGGGCGCCTAGCAAAGTAGGGCTGAGCACCCGGCTTGGGGAGGGGTGGGGTGATGACCACGCAGGTCTTACCTTAGTACATAGGTCTTCACGGAACACATCCACCTGTGGGACACAGGCAGCCTTTCAGACATCTGGCTTCATGGCCAGTTTATTGGAGAACTCTTACGGTTGCATGGGGTCTGACTTGGTGGAGGGGCGGGATTTGGGGAATAACATTCCTGGAGGTGAAGGGCGAAGGGTTCAAGTGGGAACAGATCCCTCGGTGGGCAGTGAGAGGAGGGATGTAAGAGAGCTGCTGCGACTGGGGCAGGGTCGGAGTGCCCTGTGGAATGGGCGCGGGGCCTCCCATGGTGGCAGGGCAGGGCCCGATCCCCATCTGTGTGTGGGCCCGGGCTCCGGGCCAGCAGATTTCCCTTCCACGCCAGGGCTCCGCTTCACCTCACCCCGCTGAACCTCGGCCGCCTCGCCTCTCCTCCCGCACGCAGACCTGGCGGGGCTCCCCGGGCTCAGGTGCTCTGGGCACGGGGCCCACCAGTGTTCGGATGACTGACCCCTACTCGAGGGGCTGGGGGGCGGGTCACGGACTCCTTCAGCCTCTCGGAGGCACGCCTCCCTGATGGGCCCTTCCTCGAACCCGCAGCGCTCACCTTGGCTTGGGCTTCGGGCAGGACCCTGAGCGTGGCCATGGCCGGGGTAGGGGCCTAGCGCCGCACGCGGAGCGAGGAGTGGGCACGGGGAAGGGAAAGTGAAAGCAGCGCTCGCTCCCCGCACGGCCTTCCTGGGTAGTGGGAGTGGAGGTACTAGAGGAGGCGGGGACAGACCAGAGAGAGGCGAGGAGCTGAGTGACGGCAGGCAGCCCAGCCGAGGCTCCCCCTAGAGTCGGAGAGGCGCCGTTTCTCCTCCCCGCATCCCCATCGCGGCCAGCCGTCGATTCCCCGCCCACGACTCCGCCCACCTGCCCCACCCTCCCCTAGCGTGGACCCCTGGCTCCATGGGCATCGTCTGGCCTACGCAGTGACGTTCAGACTCTGGCATCATCCCATCACAGGACCCGGTCAGCTCTCTTAAGACCCTTGTGGACTCCATTCCTCTGTAACCCACTCAGCGCGCAGCAGCAGGATTCCACCTTGCTCTTGCTGAAAACTTTCTCAACTTCCTGTTGACCTTAGAATCCAAAGGACTTTCCTGGTCCAAAAGGCCTGTCTGGCACCCTGTTCCCCTTCAACTTTGCCTTCCACTGTTTTCTCCCTCTTTTCAGTTATAAATACCTGGACTTTTCAGTTGTTTGTCAAACCTGCCAGCGTTGTTCATTCCTGCCTCAAGGCCTTTGCTCTTGCTAACCCCTTTGCCTGACACAACCTACCCTGCCTCAGGATGTCATTCTGTTCTCAGCTTAGATACCACTTCTTCAGAAAGAACTCTGCCTGTAACATAAATCCCTCCAGGTATATTAGAAAGCAGCCTGTTTTAGTACCTTCACAGCACTATCTCTATGAAGTTAGTTTCTTTTTTGAGGATAGTGTGGTTTAGAGCAGGGGTTGGCAAACTTTTTCTGTCAGACTATATAGTAAATATTTTAGGCTTTGTAGTAACTGTAGCAACTACTCAACTCTGCCATTGTAGCAAGAAACCAGCTATACACTTGAATGTGTGGCTAGTTACCCTAAAATTTTATTTATGGACAGTGGCATTTCAATTTCATGTAATTTTCACCTGTCATGAAATATTCTTTTTTTTCAACCATTAAAAAATGTAAAATCATTTCTTAGCTCTCAGGCCATATAAACACTGGCCACAGGAGGACTGTTGCTTGCCGATCTCTGTTTTAGAGCACACACAATGGATCCCTACTGCCTGGGTTAATAATTCTAGCTCCAGTATTTACTAGTTGTGAAAAACTTACTTAACTCTGTACCTCCATTTTCACAAATGTACAGTGGGAACACTCCTACCTCATGGTGTTGTTGTGAGGGCTAAATATGTGAATTTATGTAAAGAATTTATAGATACTTAGAATGGTGCCTGATACAGAGTAAGCACCATAGTATTATTATTTGTGAGTTTATCATCAGGCAGTAACCCATGGGCCCCCAAACAGCAAAAACTTTGTCTTTCTTATTCACGTGGCAAAGAACTATGCTTTGGCTCAATGAACGTCTTTTAAGAAAATGAGCACATATAGACCCTCTTTGGAAAGACAGGGTAGAAAGGGTGGCTGAGTAGGGTGCCCAGATAGAAAGGCCCCTGAGGATGGTGAGGGGGGTTTCAGTGCTGGAGGCAGGAAAAACAAATCAACCAAGCTGGAGATGGAGCATGTGCTTAGTGGGAATGCTGCCGATCCCTGAGGACACTGTTCCCAGTCCTGGCAGTGCCAGTCTTTGACATCAGAGCCCTGGATAGCTTGACGTCTGCAGAGCCCAGGAGGCTGAAAGGACAGTGGGAGGGATAGGGGTCAAGCATAAGGATATTCAAGGTCAGTGACAGCAAGGAATGACTGGGGAACCCCGGCGACTATTACACTCTCTTCTTATTCTGCCCACCCTCTACAGGTCCTGCCAACCCAGTGATGAGCAGAGCCGGAGCTAGGTCTGATGTGACTTTATTCCTTTCAGTTATGCTTGTGGCTGGAGTGGGGACGAGGGAAGAGCCCATGGCCGGGGCTGCCTGGAGACCAGGGCTGATGATACCAGCTGCCATAGGTGAGGTACCAGGCAAAGGTACCCACGGCGGCCCCCACCACCTTGTGAGTATACTGGTGGAAATAGATGACGGTGCAGAGCAGCAAGAAGTTCCAGAGGCCCAGCAGCAGCACGTTGAGCAGGAAGACAAGGCGCAGAGGTGCGCCGGCAGGCAGCCCATGGGCCAGATACTTGGCGAACACTGCTGCTTCCTCGGCCATGAGCAGGCAGCAGAAGGTGAGCAGGAAGGTGTGGGAGGAGACCGTGTAGCCCCGCCACTGATGGCCGGCCGCCAGGCAGCTGCGGCGATCCGGCAGCTCGTGGAGCAGCAGGCCCTGGGGCAGAGGCTCGAAGCAGGAGCCGGTCAGGTCCTCGATGAGCAGGAAGGCCCGGCCGGCCCCCCGCCACACGGCTGCCCCCACCACCAGCCGGCTCAGGTGCCGGGCAGTCACTGCCACGCGCCGTGTAGCCAGGAAGACCACCAACAGCACAAAGCCCCCCAGGAAGGTGCAGGTCCAGCCCCAGGCCGAATTCACAAACTTTCTGTGGGTAGAAAAGAGGAAAGGCTATTGAGACCCCTCAGCCCCATCGTTCCCCGTGTGTTCCCACCCTGGCTCTGTCTCCAGCCGCACCTATCATCCCCCTGTTGTTTTCTGTGCCCTCTACCCCCTTTGCCCACATCCACTTGGACTTCGCCATCTCCTTGGTCCATTCAGTCTTTTAGGGTCCATGTTTCCTCTTTGGTCCTGCTCCTGTACCCCCACGGCTCTGTTCCCCTCCCCCGTCTGACTTTCTCCTCAACCTCCTAGTCTATTTTTAGTGTCCCACACTGGCAGGAGGACAGAAACCTGGAGGGAGCCGGGATCCCTGAGCCCAGGCAGCCAGCGCCCCCAGCCTTGAGTGGACTCACATGTTGAAGAAGTTGCCATGGCTGGCGAAGATGGTCCGAGGGTTGACGTGGAACTGCAGAAGGGGCCCAAAGATGACCACTGCTGCCAACCAGGCATGGTAGAGGCGCCGTAAGCAGGGGCTGCCCAGGAGGCGGGCAGCCTGTTCGCTTCCAAAGTACAGCAAGGCAGAGGCCACCCAGAGCAGCACCCTGACCAGGCCGCCCAGCAGGGCCCGAATCCGGGCCCCTAGGGGCCGGGGCTGAGGGTTGCCACGTCAGCACGGTTCTCACTTTGGGTGTGTTTCCTGACAACAGCCTTGTTCCTTCCCTGTTAGTCCTGTGTCCCTTGACTTTAGGTCCTATGTCTCTAGCTCGAACCATGTTCATGTTTCAGGGCCACTCCTGTAGTTCAGGGCTGCTTTTGTCCACAGCTTGCTTGGGTCTGTTTGTCCCTATTTGGTCAGCCAAAGTCACCCCCACCCCACAGAGGTTGGACTCTCAGAGCCCCAAAGATCAAGTTCACTCCCACCTGATAGGGGGTGGAGGAGACCCTAGGAGGAAAATCCCCAGTCTGGAGTCCATCAAATCCTTGGGGTTGTGCCCCTCAATTACCTTAGGGCTTGGCCACACATAGAAAGTGGCCTCCGAGCCTGACCACTGAGGCTGGAACCATAGGGTGGTGAGCAACTTACCCAAGGGAAGTCCCTGTTATTCATTCAGTAACTCTTGTGAGATCCTTATTTGTCTTCTCATTTCTCAAAATGAGATTTGAGAAATGGGATTTCAGGGGCTACCTTTGTGGAGGCTCATGAAGTAGTGAAAGGAATGAGCAAGAAAGGGTACCTGGGTTCTGGCCCAGCTCTGTGACTTTGAGAAAATAAACTAACCCTCCTTGGTCCTCGTACCATCATCTGCAAACTGCCCAAGATGGATTCACCAATTAGGATCCTTCCAGATTCCATTGCCCATCCCGTGACATAGCATGTGCTTAGGGACTCTATACTTGAAGACCTCCAGAAGCACTCACACATTTTTGAGCTGACACAGAATTTTTCACTGTAATTTTAAATAGTTGCAAAGGACAAAATATCTAGTGTATTATATATACTTACTTTTAAAAAACAAAGCTATCTATATAACTCTTTCCCTGGTGGCTCAGATGGTAAAGAATCTGCCTACAACAAAGGAGACCAGGGTTTGATCCCTGGGTTGGGAAGATCCCCTAGAGAAGGAAATGGCTACCCACTCAGTGTTCTTGCCTGGAGAACCCCATGGACAGAGAAGCCTGGTGGGTTTCAGTCCATGGAGTCGCAGAGAGTTGGACACGACCAGGCGACTAACACTTTGACAACACTAGTTATATACCTCGTCATTTTTCCTTTTAAAAATGTGACAAGACCTTAACAGTCGGAAATTATATTGCCATTCTACTCTCCCTACAGAATTTATCCTAATATGTTTTTATGCCTGAAAATCTTTCATTGATCATACATAAGTCTCTGCCAAAAAAAAAAAAAAGTAGATGATTTGAAACAATTTTTACACATTTCCTGTGATCATAAGTTGAATTTTTTTCTTCTGTATTGAACTTCCATATAAATTAGTACAAATTTCAAAATTGTTAGTAGCACAAAATATATTATTTGTACAACAAACCTTTCACAAAGTTTGATAATAATACAATAAGATTGTTTTGGAAATGCATCTCTTAATGAGAACAGATGGCCCTTAGGGCCTTGATTGAGGACACTTATCATTTTAGTTGGCATCTCCTTCTAGCATCCTGGAGGTAAAACAGTTCTGGGTGAGATGGGTGGCATCTCTGGGTATTAGGGGGTAGAGATAGGTATCATTTGTTAACTAAGCTTTGCAACAGGGAGTCCATCCTAGGCAAGGAGGCAGAGGGGGGATGAAAGGAGCCAGTAGGGAAGAAGATCTGTGTGATGGTTTCATGCAGGCAGGTCAACTGGAGGAAAGAGATTGCCTGGAGGCCAAGCATCTGGAAAATTTATTCTTTTAAAAGTGTTTTGCTGTTGAACAGGTACATGTCTTAACCCCTTACTGTGCCTCTAAGACCCCTTGAAGGTGTGCATTCTGGTTCCAGAACTGCCTTAGAGATAATGGGGAAGGTCAGGCCAAGCTGCTCCCCTATAGTTCACACCATGGGTCTGCCCTGAGGCATGGTGGCTGACCTCTGCATGCCTCCATTTCCTCACCTGGAAAAAAGGGTGCTGTGAGAATGGGTGAGGTCCTGAGTGTGAAGTTGCCCAGATGGGGCCTGCCATCAGTGCCCACCAGGTGATTTCCAGCTCTGGGCTACTTCTTTCCATGGACTGGACCAGCTCCAGGGCAGAGCTGATGTGGGTGTTCCGGGTTCTCATCTAAAATGTGTTTACTTCCTATTATCTCAGTTTCCATTTGCTGAGAAGTTTCTGAGGTCTGTGAGGGACTCCCTGTTGCAAAGCTCAGTTAACAAATGATTTTGGTATTCCCCTTCATCTTCGGGCATCAAAGCAGTGATTTCTCTAACAGAGGAGCATATCTGAAAGCTTTGTTGAAACCTCTTTCTTAAAGTGAGGGGATAAAAGATCTGCAACAGGATAAAGAGAGAGACAGACGGATGCTGAGCCAGGTTCCCACAGAGTTTATTGAGGGAGCCAAAGCCAGTAAGAGGACAAAGGAGTCCTACTTCAACATCCCTCCTTGAAGCTGCTGGCCTCTGGCATGATGGAACATTCTGGGAGGGGGAGGACCTTCCCTGTGTGGGGCCACACAGAGCCTCTCACACCATAGCGTACCCCTCCCCCCAAAGACCCAGATGCATGAGAGAGAAGACATAATTCCCACGGTGGGAGGGTGCTTATCCATCCGCCTCTCCCTGAGGGGCTAGAGCTCTAGCCATTAGGACCTCTGGAACAAAGGCCAGCACTCCTGGCCCTCTGACTGACCCGTCTAATCCTCAAAGTGAAGGCCTAGGCAATGGGCCTTGCTGATGGCACAGTTCAGACCTGGCCCCAGGCATCTACTCTAGGAGCTAACACTTAACATCCAAACATGATTAAAAAACACTTAGGACAGTTCTCCTGCTGATCAGATAATGGCAGTCCTGCCAGACCCCGGCCAGAGACAGAGGTCCAAGATGATTGGGTGTGAGCATGTGAGAGGACCACAGTACCCCAAAGGGAGGATCTCCCAGGGGTCAGCTAGGGGCCCAAAGCCTGGGCTTCTGTTTCTCCCCAGCCAGTGCCAGTGAGTCCCTAAAGATCCCCCATAGGGGAGAAAGGGAGGAGAAGGTGGAGAGCTGGTGAAGAGGCTCACCCATGACTGGGCCTGGAGGTCAAATCTACTGGGGCGAGGAAAAGGCTGTAGAGGGGCGGGACACTGGGGCAGGGGTGCTGGGATGCTCCTCCGACTCTGGCATGTCATCCTGGAAGTACTCAGCCTGGCGATACTGCCACAGACGCAGATTCCCGTCCCACTGCAGGGCAGAAGGTGGCAAGCAGTCAGGGGATGCTGCCCTCACACGGTCCCAGACACACACTGGCCTCCCTTATTCCAGCATCCTCACCGAACTGCTGACGATCTTCTCCTCAAAGGGGTGCCAGCTGACGTCACGCACACAGGCCTTGTGGCTGGTCAGCTTCTTCACGATGTGGCCACTGAGGAGGTCGTACACTGTCCAGGGAAGGCCAGAGTGGAGAAGGGCAGCCAGAAGACCTTCCAGCCATCCCTCATCTCTCCCTGCCTCTCAGGCAACTTCCCACCTTTCCAGAGGAGCAAAGCCCACATGTGGGAATGCTGTTAGTTTCTTTTCCCTACCTCAGGTTGAGAATATGATCTAGCAGAGCTTGGGTATCTCTGGCCCTTAGCTAAATGTTACAGGGTCTACAGTTAAGAAAATGAAATGTGGCTTTAAAGCAGCAATTTTCTTGAAAGCTCACAAGATATGGGAGACACCACAAAGTTGAACATGGGGCTGTCTCCATAGACTTGTAAACCTGCTGCTCCTCTTCTGGACACCTTTCTCTCTCCCTGGATGGGCCTTCATCTCAGCACCTCCCTAGGTCTATCTTAGGCTCCTTCCATCTGTGTCTGTGTTTCTTTTCATGCATTCCTCCTGCTTCAGTGGCTGAACATCTTTTACGACTTGCTGCTTTTTGTGTCATTCTTTCTGTCTCTGTTCCCTCCTACCTTTCATCTGTAATCTCTTCCCTGACTGATTAAAAAACAGAACCGTGTATATTTTTGGTGATCAAGTATATTTACTGACTAGAATTCTGTGTTCCTTTCTTAATTTAAAATGCTAATGAATAGAATGTTTTCTCTTTCTCTGTTTAAGCTGCCCTGCTTCAGGCTAAATGAAATTTCATTATAGTTCTCACTGGTTTTTTAAGATGCTCACTGGTGGTTACAGGTAGAATGCCAGGGGAACATTCCTGCCCTTCCTGAGACCCCCTGGTCTGACACAGTCCTTACCGACCACTTTGCCAGTGGAGCAGCCACTGTAGATGAACTGCTGGCCAGTGCTGTGGGTAGGGGAGAATCGGCAACGGATGAGGGTGTGCAGCACCCCGTGGCCCCGGTAGGTCATCAAGGAGCTGTCCCCTGGGAGCTTCAGCTTCCGCCAGGCTGGGGAGGGATGCAGGGCAAACCCTGGGTTAGGAAGTCTGGATTCTCCTGTATCACCAGTCCTCAGCAAACACTGGTGCTCACAGACAGTCATCTTTCCAATCCCCAGCTGGTGTCTCTTTCCTCACCAAACAGTCAGCTGATATGTGCCAGTATGGCTCTGCTGATTGTCAAGATGCTGTAGTACTTTGGTATCCATTGGCTTGGAGTGAGTGATCCCCAGTTCCCACACTGGTAACCCCTGACTTTCCCCTGGTTCAGCAAACAAAAAATTAATGCCTGGCCAGGAGGAGTCAGGAGAGGGGTCCCAGCTCCATCCACCATGCCCATGCTGGGCCTTACCACAGGTTAAATATTTTAACTACCACTCCTGACTCTTCACTCTCCAGATCTCAGGTTCTACTTCCGCTCTCACCTTTTTTGGGCACCTGCTGCCAGCGGTAGTCCCAGTTTTGCTGCGTGGCAGCCTGGCGAGAGGCTTCCATGCCTTCCCGGCTAGAAAAACGGCGGATATCCCAGAGCTTGATGGTCTGGTCTTTGGAGTTGGAGATGAGATATCGGGCATCACCCTGTGAATCCCAGGATGGATAAGGAGGATCAGCACTCCCCTCTCTCAGTTGAGGGGTATGAACGCAGGCTGCTCTTTGGTCACCTCTATCTTCACCGAGGTGGGCCTCGCCATTGGTTTCCTACCACGGGCCACACACCCTGGCTAGGTTTCCCCTTTTTTGTCCAGCACACTGGCTGGCTCCTGTTCTACATCGGATCAGATTGTCTTCTACTTTTCTTGTACAGAAAGCCCTGCTCCTTATGGGATGGTGCCGATCTTGCAAACCGTGGCTAAAGGAGGAGCTTGATGAGTTGCCACATCTGTTTGCTTTGACACCACAACTCAGTCGCCTGACTGTGCGGTCCTGCCTCTGCACCCACCTTACTGTCAATGAAAGTGATGCCGTCCTGGTGTCCGGCGAGCGCGCCCACAGGCTTGGGGTCATCCTCCCTCATTGTGCGTCGATCCCACACTTTGCAGATGGCATCATCACCCCCGGAGAACAGGATCTGGGAGCTGACGTCAGCAAAGGCCACCGCATTCACATCATCCTCATGGGACTCAATCTAGGGGAGAAAGGGGCCAGGATGTTTACAACATCTTTCTAGGTCTTCCAACAAGCCAAGGACCAGGAGGCAGAGGCTTGAAATCTCAGGAGCAATACCTGAAGGGTCCGCCGGTTCTGTTCTCGATCAAAGACGTACAGGCAGCCATCATTGGCCCTGAAGGGAAGGGGATAAAGAGGGCTCTGGAGCCAGGACCGAGAGGACCCATGCTATGAATGCTCTGGAGATACTGTGTCTCCAAGCCCCGCTAAGGGGCAAGCCCTTGTGTCTTCTTATACAGGAGGTGGGAGAAGAGTTAGCTGTGACCTCCCATCTCGTGCTGGGGAAATGGTGCTTGAGAAGTGAAGCCACTCATAAATCTTGGCCCTGGAGAAGCCCTGGTTGTTCTGGTTGTTCTCCATGGCTGCCTGGGTACAGGTATCTGCTGTGGTCTCTGTAACGGTAGAGCCCGTTTCTGGGAGAATTTCTGTCTCATTAAGTTCTGGAGGCATCCCCACGAACACTCACCCTCCTAGCACTTCTCGTCCATCTGAGGAGACAGTGATGGAAAAGACAGCGAAGCGACGTTCATCTGGCCTGAAAAGAAACAAGGAGGAGCTGCATTAACTGAACTTTCCTTTAGCCCTGGTTAATCCACATAGAATGTGACGAGGGTGGTGAGGCACACTGCTGAGGGGAAAAGAAATCCCGCCAGCACACATGCCAGAATGTGGGGCACCTCAGTGAGGAAGTGAGAAGAATCCTGCAGCCATCTATTTTATCCTGGTCCTCTGGCTGAAAGGCTGGGTGGTTCCCTCCCAGGATCCACACAGAGAAACTTGCAATCGGTGTACTTTCCCCTCTAAGCAGGAGTTCCAGTTCAAGAGGTGTGCTCCTAGAGAGCCTTTCTTGAGTAGTTTCTGATGAGTCTGACCAGGAAGGGAAGCCAGTACCTTAGATCCAGGGCAGTGTGTGTGTCTCCCTCCCCGTAGATGTTGCAGATATGAACTAAGAGAAGCAAGAGAAACAAGAATCTTTCAGGGCTGAGGTAAGGGGGGTAGAGTCAGGGAAGAGATAGAACAAATGGGAAGGAAGCTGGACCCGGGGAGTAATTTGTCCAGGAAAAGGCATGGAGTCATGGCACGGAGGAGATGGGTATTTGGAGACCTCAGGTCCCCGGCTGGAGAGACCATGGAGGTCTGGGGCACACTCACTGTAATCAGACCAGCTGGAGTAAAGGAAATGGTTCCCATCGGGGGTGAAGGCCACATCCAAGACACTCCAGCCGACATCCCGGGCTTTGATGCTCTTGAATTTACGAAAGCGGCCATACCGGCAGTCATATAGTCGGATTGTCTGGTCTGTGCGAGTGGCGATCAGGCAGAATTAGAAAACAGCCTCCTGGAATCCTCCCTAGATCAGACCTCTGTCACTCACCACTGATCTGTGGAATTTTCCCTTGATCATGGGACAAAACATGTCTTCTAGCTAAGCATCCTTAAGCCAGGGTCTGAGCTCCCTGGATCTGGGGCTTTCTATCATCAGTCAGAGGGAACAACTCTTGTTCTAAGACAGTTGGTAGGACTAGGGTATGGTACCTTGACAGGCAGACATGAAGATTTGACCATCTTTGCTGTAGATGCCACAGAAAGCCTTCTGAGAGTAGGTATCAGTGAAGCCCAGATCGTTGGGCAAGAAGCTGGGGAAGCAGAAAGAAAGTGAGGGTAAGAGAAACTCAGGATGGCTCCTGTCCCACTTAGCAGCATCCTAACAGAGCTGGATGTGAGTACAAGGGCATTCTTCCCAGCTTTGGGTATAGCCTTTGTCTTTGATTCATTCTATCATCCTCTCAATTACTATACTTTTCCACTTTGCTCACTCTCAAAGCCTCAACCCCACATAACCTAACTTTAATATCCCTGAGAATCCTTTAACACTCATCCCTTCAAAGTTTAAGAAAGTTTATAGACTTATCTGGCCCTTGGAATCTCTCCACCAAGCCCCATACTCACTGAGACATCACTCGAGACCGTTCTCCAAGGGAGAAGCTTCCCTGGTGGCAGAGGCCCCGTTCTCTCTAAAGGAAGGGATTGGGGAATATTGCTAGCAGAAACAGAGGGCCACCTCAGCCACACCAAGCCCCCTCCTCCAAAAACATTGCTCTTGCTACAGGAACGAACCCAGCACATAGTAATATGTCCCACCAAATGCCCACTCAGGCTGGTTGAGAGCTCTCTAGCTCCAGCACTTGAGGCTTCCTTGGAAAGCTTACTTCCCTCTTTTCTGGGATTGTGGCTTCTGGCTGCACTGATAGGCCTGCTGCCAGACTGGATGAGGGGAGGCCTACCTGGTGCAGCATTTGAGGAAAGCTGAGCTCCCGCGCTGCCTGCCTAAGTCCCAGCCGTCCTGTGGCCAATTCCACTTGTGTCTTGATCTCACTGCATTCCAGCTCCCGGGTGTCAGGGGTTGCATCCACTGTGAGCACCAAAGAGAAGTCTCATCCTAGGTCTTTTCCAGCACCAGTGGACAGTTAGCAAGGCTGTGCTCAGCCTTCTCAATGTGGCTGAATATACTGAGGCTGCAAAGACTCCCTCATTTCCTGAATTATCTCATCTTTTTCTTTCAATTTTTGCCAAAATTATTTTTTTTACAGTTTTATAGTGGAAATCCTTTGATGTTAGGGTCCCTGTCTGCCTTTCTTCTTACCCGGTGGGTTGTATCGGTCTCCAAGACGACCATCCCAGGCACTGTCATGCTCTTCCTCTGAGTCCGAGAGGGCCTGGATGAGCTGCAAATTTGCTGCACCTCCTCCCTGCACCAACCTCACTTGGCCTCTGTGGAGAGACCCCCCATGATAAAGGGGAGGATCCCTTCCCCAGACCAACCAAATTCAGAGTCAATGGTTATGTAGTTCATAGACTCCCTTGTCCTCAAACCCTTGTACCGTCCCCATGTTGAGGTTTGAGGCTGACCCTCTGTTATTTTGTCTCCTATAAGACACACCAGGAAGCTAATTTTCACTATTATAAGAGGAGTAGAAAATCCCAGCATTGTACGGATGTTGACTGATCTACTGAGTTGGCTTCCCAGAGAGTTAAAAATTCTGAGAGCATTTCCTTCTGAGTCTCTGCCCAAGGAGTCTAGCATAAGACATGGTTTTCTGAAGGGATTCCCAAGCCGGTCTTCTCCCTCAAGGAGCCACAGCTAAGAATTAAAGGCAGTTGTACCCCCTTTCTAGTCAATTCCTGGTGGTCACTTCCCTCAAAGCATTCTTTCTTCAGGAATGGGATTAGAGTTAGGTTAATTTAAACTTGTTTTTCAAGTGAATCCACATGGCCTCATATCATGTGTCAATGACTTCACTTAAATTCAACACCCACTTCCCCAACTCTTTTCTTCACCCCTCAGAGCACTTCCTTCCCACCAGGGCACCCTTCCCTCTTTTTTATTTATTTATTTTTTTTACTTACTTGGAAAATAGGTTACGTGTGTAATCATAGCTAGACTCCCTTGAATAGTCTCCTCAACACAAGAGCGAACCATCCTGTTTACCCCGCCTAGGGGACTGCTGCCAGTGTCCAGCAGGGAAGGCTGTTCTGCTCAAACAGAACAGCTGTTCTGGGCTGATCCCATTCCCTATTCTCTGTAGCTTCCCTGACTGGAGCTGGTATCAAGGGACTCTGGTGGTGCCTGGCGGGGACACACCAAGGGGTAAGTTACCTGCGTAGGAGATAGGCCAGTACCTGGGCCAGATCCACATCTTCATCCTCCTCTTCCTCCTCCTCACTCCTACGCAGGCCAGCCCCTCTTCGGGGCAAGCCCTCGGAGGGGTCTCCGGACCCAGTTCCTGCGCTGCTACTGTTCCGTGATCCCATCTTCTGGTCACAGCATCCTTAAGTCCTGTGTGGGGACTCCTCCTGTCACCTCCTTGGGTTTGGTGAAAGCAAAGCCTGCTCTAGAAACACCAGAGTTTCCTGAGATCGATAGTAGCTATCTCTAGGAGGGCGACCCTTCCTAAGTATTGAGATCCCTTTTCCTCAGCCTGTAACAACTCCCAAAGCTTCTGGAACACAAACCTTTCCCGATCCTGTGAAGCAAAATAAGCAGAGTGAAACCTAGGGCGTGACCCTAGTTCACGAGTGAAAATCCTTTGAACAGGAATTTCTCAGTTTTCCACCTCAAACTCACCTATCAAAGTCCCTGGGATGGGGGTGGATTCCCAGGTAACCTCTCTGGAGAACCAATCAAAACCCCTCGCGGAAGGGAAGGCGCCTCATTAGCTTACCCCATCTAGCCAATCAGAAGCCTTAGAACTCAGAGACCCCCTCGACGCCCCCCTTACCGGCCAATTAGAGCACTCCCTTGCGAAAGCCGGTGGCAGCAACAACCAATGAGGTTAAAAGTCGGCCTAACACCCCCCCTTCCTTGCCTCACGCCCACGTGGTGTTCCGGGGGTGTGTACGCTAAGCGGGGGCAGGCAGGGAGGAAGCTGAGAAGCACCTCCCACATAGCTTGCGGTTACCGCCACGCGCGAGACCACCCACCAGCGAGAAGCAGTCGCAGGACCAGCAGCGGCGCGAGGCCTTGTTTACACGGACTGCCGCCGCAGCGTCGGCTAACCGCTTCTCCGTCACGCGCCGCCTTCGTCACGCATCTCCCCGCTCCGCGACCGGCGGATCACGGACGTCACACGACACCCCTGACGGCCCAGCCCTCTTGGCCAGCTTACTGGACAGCTGAGCGCGGTGATTGACAGACGGGCGGGAGAAAGTGTGCGAGGGGTTTAGGGGAGGAGAAAGCGCGCAACCCAGTAGGGGCGACCGCTCCTTGTGGGAGGAGTATGTAGGGAACCGGCTGCTTCCTGAATATGAGACGACGGAACTAGACTAGATGGGCGAGGGGCGGGGCTTACAAAAAACGTTGTTGTGCTTCCGTGAGATGTCTTAGCAAGGGATACAATTTGCTGTCGGTCCCTTGGGTTAATTTGGCTTCGCACTTTTCAGACGCCCTCTAAGGGCCTACTCTTTTCTCCCCTTTTGCCAGTTCGGCTCTAGCCTTTCTCTTTTCGCAGACTGCAGCTGCTGCTGTCCCTGCCCTAAGGGGTGCCCGGCGCCTTTGGGACGTGTTCACGTGATGGGCCCTCACACCCTCCCTTCCGGGCTTAACTTCCGGAAGCCTTGTTCTTGTAGGGTTTGCTTATTCTAGACCGCCTGTTAGCAGTTTTGGCAACTTTTTAGGTCACCCCCTGGCGGTCTTTGCTGACGTTCCCTAACACAGTTGCGGGTCTCCTTTGGCCTTTACTTTTTGTCAGTTCCTCTCAGCCGCCCCCTGGGCCCTCAGGGATTTGCTGGCTTTCCTTAGACCTTCTGTCCTTCGGGTGCCTCTCCGTCCCAGGCCGGTCCTGGCGCGTGGCGCCTCCTACCCCCTCCTCCGGGTTTATGAGTAACTCGGCTAAGTCCAAGGCCGCGACTTGTGTACTTTGGGATCCTTGCCCTTGCTGGGGTGGGATGTATGTGTTTGGGGGCGGGGGGAGTGTTGATTGTCCGTGCCGGGCGCCTAGATCCAAGGGCCGAGGTGCACCTCAGCGACCCCAGACAGCACTCTCTTAGAAGTGTTGTCATCTGTCCCCTCCCAGTGCCGCCTCGGGGCAGATAGGGGAGTAGAGACCCTTAGTTTCCCTGGGCTCATTCTCCGTGGGAGGGCGAGGGTGTGGTTAGTCCTTTGGGCGATGCCTCCTGGTTTCTAGGTCGCCAGATCCGTGCTTATCACCTGATCACTAGGGTTGGCTTCTTGGGCCCACACTTAGTTTAATGTTCTGCTATCACCCTTTGAAATGCTTAAAAAATTTTTGAACAAGTGCCCCACAATTTTCTCTTGCTTTGGGATCTACTAATTAAGTAGCCTGTTTTGCCAGTCAGCCATCTCCTATTGCCAGGTTACTTTCTATCTGCCCTATAGTGTTTATTGTCTCAATACATCTTATATGTATATTTATAAATAAATAAATTCTAAAATAATATAAGCGAAAATGTTAGTCGCTCAGTCGTGTACTACCCTCTGTGACCCCATGGACTGTAGCCTGCCAGGCTCCTCTGTCCATGAAATGCCATTCCCTTCTTCACGGTCTTGAGTCACCATCAGAGAATCTTAGGATTCTGTGGTTTCTGGGTTGTCCAGCCTGGAAAATTTGGAATCCTTTTCCAAAATGACCTTTCCCTTCTCTTTGCCCTTTAAATTCAGTTATTCAAGTCCTATCACCCAACATCAAATTTTCATTGTTTCACACCTCTCCCAGTTAGTTGATCTCTGGAAGTATTCTTCTCTAATAGCCTTTAGTTCTTAAGAACCTACACCTGGTTCATTAGTGTTTGTTTCAAATACAAACTTCCAAGCCTGCTTCGCTCTTTTTTTTACTCTTAGAAGTGCTGCCATCTGTCCCCCTCTTGTCATTTTTTTGTTACTTCTGCCAAGCAAATATGGCCATAAAGTCTTTACTTGTTTCTCTTCTCTACACCTTCCCAGAATTTCTTGTCTGGGGGAAACTTTGTCTCTACCAATCAGATTCCCTTTCTCGTGACCCAGTAGTGTCACTTCTAGGAAACTAGAAACTATGCCAAGTCTAGCATAAATGTTTATGTTCAGCAGAGCAACTATGGATTGTAGTAAAACACTGGAAATAAAATAGATCCAAGCACACTGCTACAGGATAGGATTGGTTAAATAAATTATGGTTCATATGGTAGACACAAAAATGCCAGGTAGCCATTAAAATGACATAGTCTTCTATTATTATGCTGTGGGAAATTGCACAAGTTACATTTTTAGGTTTCAAAAAGGTGGTAGTTCTTCTGGTGATGTGGTGGATGCAAAAACAATATGTTTCAATTCTGCATTTTAAAAGTATAAAAATACCCAGGCTTATTATTAGACAAATAGTAGAGAAAGCCTTGCATGAACTAATATGACAAAGATACAGTATGAACAAAGTATTATGGTTAACACAGTTCAACCACCTGAGGTCCACAGAAAACAAAAACTTCTGTTAAACTCATCTTCTTAACTCATTTAAAAATTACCTCTTTCCTCTTTTCTTTCTTAGCTTACAAATCTGTTTAATTTACAAATGTAGTTTAAAGCTGAACAAAATCTATACTCAAATCTTTGAAAGATGGAACTTGTGTGTTACTGAATAAGACATTTTAAAGTCATAGTAAATGTTAAAAAGAAAAATCTGAGGTTTTATGCTCAAAATGAGTCTTGACATCAAATGCTGAAGAGTGTAAGATTTCATCTCTTGTTCCCTTTGTTGATTTTTGTATGTAAAAGATTTTTAAGCCTATGAACTTGATTATATCACTTGTGACAATAATTTAAAAATGTATATGACCATTTATATGTTAGGATATACTGTGTGTTTCATTGAAAGAAAATGGTGTTTCTTTAAAAAATAATTTTAATTAAGTCATTTTGATAAACTTTATTGGCCCTTCCTCTCATGAATTTGAAATTTGGCATGTTGCTTGGTGACAATTTCTAAGTACTTTTCGTTTGGGCAATCTCCACTCTCCCCACCTACACTTAAAGCAACAGAGAGGTTTTCTAGTTAGCACCCATTTTAGGACTGGTTCTAGTGATTGCTCTGTAAATGTCAGCTAGCTGACTTCCTGTCTGACCTGCTTTGGGCATTTCCTGCTCATCAGCATGTCCACCAGGGGGCGCGCTGGGCTTGAGAGGAGAGAAGGAAAGTAAATTTTTCTCTGGCTACCTTTGTCCTCCCTCTCCCCAATTCCAGCCTGGTATGGCACAGAGCTCCTGGAACATGTGTCCAGCTACAAAGGAACATGCAGGCAACACAAAGGAATGCTTTGTCTTCTGAAGTGATGGATGACGTGTGTTTATATATTATCTTCTTATAGCACGCTCAATGTAGAAGGAAAGCGGGAAGTATGGTAGTTTACCCAGGACTTAAAAGTGTGTTGACTATAAAGCAGTTGAGTAATTACGGGATTTCTAATACTTTTGTGTCCTGTGTCCTTGGGAACCAAATTTTTTGTGTGGCGGGTAGGAGGTACAAATGTGATATAGAAGTTAAAAACCCTTTAGCTCTTGAGTTTGAATCGGAACTATCAGTTTGAACTCGAGGTTTTGTTTTCCTATCCCTATCCACTGAAAAGATCTAGAAACAGTCTAGTAGCAATAAATACTCCTATCACCTAAATCTTATTTTTTTTTCTTTTTTTATTTTTTTTTCTCATTTATTTTTATTAGTTGGAGGCTAATTACTTTACAACATTGCAGTGGTTTTTGTCATACATTGAAATGAATTAGCCTCCAACACCACAGTTCAAAAGCATCAATTCTTCTGTGCTCAGCTTTCTTTATAGTCCAACTCTTACATCCATACATGACCACTGGAAAAACCATAGCCTTGACTAGAGGTAAAGTCAAAAGGATTCAGGAGCCAAGGCCTATGGCCAAAGATGGGATAATTTGAGCATTATAAGGATAATTTAATAAACATTAAGTATGTTTAAATCCTTGAGTTCATAATGGTTGTGTGTGTGTAACTAATTGGTCACAAAAAAAACCTACCTGGTCACCTTTTTGAAGGATGATATGAAACCAAATCATTATTTTTTTAAATAACTAAAACATTTATTTGTGCCAGGTTCTAGTTGCAGACCATGGGGTCTTTGGTTGTGGCATGAGGGATCCAGTTCCTTGACCAGGGATTGGGACTGCTGCATTTCGAGCTCAGAGTCTTAGCCACTCACTGGGCCACCAGAAAAGTCCCCAAAACATTATATTGAAGATGGTAAATTAAGGAAAAGAATCAAGCAGTTATCTTGCTGTACCTGTATAAACTATGCCTCAGGGTAATGAAAACAGAAAATAAAAGGAATGTCCCTTTGTAAAGGAATTCCAAAGATTATGACTGAGTTTGAGGAGAGCTTTTCTGAAATCCCTAACAAATTAATGAATCTAGGCGATGAACATCTAGGCCTGGATTCTTCAGCGGTTAAACTGAAGAAAAGAGTAGAGGGGTAACCTGTAGATTGAGAGACGTAAAAGGTATACAGATTTTTTTTTTAAATGGACAAGGTTAGGCTATAATGTCTAGGGTTCTGGATTTAGGTAATACAGGAAAAAAAAAGCAAGGATGTGATTATCATGAACCATGGTGTCAATTTACACCAGGAAGGAGGGACTGTGAAGATGAGGAATATGGTGGTGGGTGCTTTTAGTGTTTGGCAAAGTTCTGTTTTTCTGGGTAATGACTTCAAGGTTCGATTTAGTTTATTAAGCTATACTTTTATTTTGTACAGTTTTCTGTATCTGTGTTTTAGTTTAAAATAAAGTTTAATAAAATGTGTTAACTATATTTTATCATTTATCTGGAGCTGCAGGGCATGCAATTTTATTCTAATTGGCAAAATCTTTTTTTCTTAAATGGTGGTTTGTCCAGGCTTTTTATTTTTTAAAATTTAAAAAATTGAGGTATAGTTGTATTAGTTGCAAGTGTACAGCAGTGATTCAGATACATATATGTGTGTGTATGTATTCTTCAGATTAGTTTCTTTTATAGGTTATTATAAAATATCTATAGTTCCCTGTGCTATATAGTAGGTCCTTGTTTGTTATCTATATTTTATATATAGTAGTGTGTATATGTTAATTCCATTTTCCTAATTTATTCCTTCCTCCTACCTTCTGCTATGGTAACCATAAGTTTGTTTTCTCTGTGTGGATCTATTTCTGTTTTGTAAATAAGCTCACTTGTACCTTTTCAGATTCCATATGTAAGTGATATGTATTTGTCTTCTCTGTCTGGCTTACTTCACTTAGTATGATAATCTCCAAGTTCATCTGTGTTTCTGCAAATGGCA